CGAAGAGTTGCGACCCTTTGAGTTCCGAAATAGAGTTCTGTTTTTTTTTTTTTTTCCAAGTTCTCTCCAACGAGCCCTTCTACAATTCTAGCATACATAATGCATAATTATGGCTCGTTTAATTTGTCCAAAATAGAATGTTTGTGAACCCTACAACCTTTGAGTTATTTAAACTCAATTAATTACTACCTCCTATTCATTTTAAAGGTAATTTTGACATTATCAACTATTAACAAAATAAATGTCATTTTGGATATTTTATATATATTTTTCCATTATTACCCTCATCTATCTAATAAATACACTACGTCTTTTCGTATTCACTCTTAATCTTTTTCAAAATATTCATCCCTATCCTCATTAATGAGGGTTATTATTGTCAAAAAAAATATTCTTAATAACTGTACAACTTCTCAAAACGATACTTATTATGAATAGGAGGGAGTAACATATAACACTTAGAATTAATTTCTCATTCACCTTGAAAAAGTTTTGAGAATTTCCTAAGTCATCTACCTACAAAAAATATAATCATTAAATCTGTACAAAACTAATTATTTTTCACAGTCTCTTTGCATTGGAGACTTGAGTTTATTTACATGTCATTGTCAGTGCGATTTGCAGATACAATCACATTTAGTCAACGGTCAAGAATCCTAATAGGACGGACTCATCCAATGAGAACATGCCACGTGGACTACAGCTAGATTTCCTGCATTTTCATACACCTTTCTCTAGATCATTCCGTTCCGCGTCCCCTTCGTTTTTTCTCGTTTCGTTAATATTCACTCACAAAGTTGAGGTCGTTTGTTGCCTCTTCTAATTCGGTCTCTGAATCGCGAAGGTAAACTTCTCCCTTTCCTCTATTTCTTATCTCCATCTTCTTTCTTGTTTGTGCTTTTATTGTTTCCATTCTGCAACCATTTTTTCATGCTTGAAATCTGAAGGCACCTAACGCAAAGAATCACTTTTTCGTTTAGCCCTTTTATCAATTTTCTTGAAATTCAGTGCTTGTGTGCGAGTTAGGGTTTGGATATTCAGATCTTACTATGATTGAACTTGTTGTTGTTCCTCAATTCTCATATTCGTATAATTTCTCCCTATCTTTGTTTCTGTGTTAAATTTATTGTTGAATTCTTGTCTCACAATTTAGATCCAAAAATCCATAGTTTTAGGTCAAGAAGATGGATAGTGGGTTTGGGGAATCTACAAGCAGGCAACCCCCAAGCCCTTCTTCGTGCTCGACCAACAACAATAGTGATGCTGCTGGCAATTTCGAGTGCAACATATGTTTCGACCTGGCCCAGGACCCGATCGTGACCCTTTGCGGCCACCTCTTCTGCTGGCCTTGCCTCTACAAGTGGCTCCGGATCCACTCCCGCTCCCAAGAGTGCCCTGTCTGCAAGGCCCTCATAGAAGAGGAGAAGTTGGTCCCTTTGTACGGCCGTGGAAAGAGCTCCACCGACCCCCGCTCCCGATCGGTCCCCGGCATGGAGATTCCCCACCGGCCCATGGGCCAGAGGCCCGAGACTGCCCCCCGGCCCGATTCTGTCCCGAACCCGTTTGGGCAGGAGCAGGGGTTTGGGTTCATGGGTGGGTTTGGCCCGTTTGGTGGCTTCGGGCCCATGGCTACGACCCGGTTCGGGAATTTTGCGCTGTCGGCTGGGCTGGGGGGCCTGTTCCCCTCGTTTTTCAACATTCAGGTTCATGGGTTCCCGAACGCTAACTTGTATGGGGCGGGCCCGGGCTTCCCTTATGGGTATCCAAATGGGTTTCATGGCGGGCCCGCGCAGGGTTATGCAGCGCAACGTGGGAACAACCAGCAGCAGCATCAGGCTGACTCGACTCTGAAGCTTCTGTTCATGGTGATTGGTTTGAGTGTTCTCCTGACTTTAATTTGGAGTTGAAAGTTATGCATCGCTGCGTGAGATTATGGAAGGGGTGTGAAGATTGTGCTATTTGTATATGCATTAGTGTGCTTGATTTTGGCAAGATTTAATTTTTCATTTTTCAACTTAAACATCCATATCAACTGTTGTTTTGCTAATAAAATATATCACTTTGTTCTGATTGTTGCCGTTCTTGTGTTCCTCTTTGTTATTATTATTGTTGTTTATGTACTACTCTTTTATCTTTAATTTATTAGGTTGGGGAATTAGTAGTCCGTGACGCAGAGCCTCTATATCGGAGGCATGAATTCAAGTGAATTAGTGCTAACGTATGATATAATAATGCATGTATTCAATGAAAATGGTTGTTTGGTTTGAGGGTTTAGATTGGTGAAATGTTCTAAAAGAGAGAGCTGTAGAAATGCAAACAGTCCATGTTTGTTTTGTTGTCTAAGGACATTGTTAATTTGTTGAGGATGGACCGAGTTTACTTTACTCAGAATCTTCTTTCCTCTTTGGTAGGGAATTGATTTTTCGCTATATTGAACACTAATCTTCCCCTCGAGTTCTTTTTCACATTTTGAAGTACCAAACAACCAAACAGCTGCAACTTCTCTGTATCATTTTTTTCTCTTCGAAATTTGATGGTCTGGTTATTGAATGTGTTGCACCGCCTTTCTTCTTATGAGATTACACAAGCATGGGATTTTATCACCCAACGAGCCACTATCTCATTTCTTAGATCTTTTAGATGTCTCATGTTAGCTATATTTGTTGTCCTTGATTGCCCTATTATACATTAAAGTTTGTTGTCCATCATTTAAAATTGAAGTAGCCTAATCAATGTTATTAATGGTGGATAGCGATAAATGGCGGCAGGCCAAAATCCTGCGTGGTAGCCTATGGCGCCGCCATAACTGCCATTCTTAGCAAATTTAGCAAGGCCGTTTGCAAAAGTTTGCCAAGCCATGGCTGCCATTTGGTAACACTAAGCCTAAGAGGACTCACATTGCAGGTGGCCCCATCAGTTAGCAGCTCTGCAGATATATATTTCAATACAGTGGAAGAATTTAGCAATCTGGATCTTTTCAGGATATATATTATTTGAACTGTTGATGAACATTGGTTGCTACATAGCACTGGTGAGTTTTTGCGGTTCGTTTTTTGGCAGAGTAGTGCATGGACATATAAATATTGCTTGTTTTCATTTTTGCCTTATGAGCCAGTCATGGACAAATCTTGCAGCTAGTTGAAACTTTACTTTCGCATTAGGGTAGTAATGCTATACCATCAGATTTATGTCATAATTTGAGGCGCATCAGTGTTTTTAAATAACATGATACAATTCGTTAAGGTTGCGCCTGTCGTGGGGAATTCATGCAGCTGTTTGTCCGAATAACATTCGGAATTGGAATAAACATTTGGTGAAGTGAAGGAAAGATGGATTGGAAATTATCTTGATTTCATGTGGATTTTCTGAAAAATCATATCATGGGTTTGAGTAAGAAGTTGACTTGGGTGACTATTGATCTCCATGGGTTTTGGGGCTAGCTTTATATAGTCATCTTTTATCGCTTTACCCCATGACTGCTTAATTTTACCTTTGGTATTCATTACTGTAATCCCCAAGGCCCCAACTTTTGAGTTCTTATGAACTGTGAATTGGATGTCAGAAAAGAAAGAAAAGAAAGTGCAGCTGGTTTTAAGAACGTAACAGTTAAGCGTGCACGACTTGATATTCTTAACTTAGAGATAGTTGTGAGATGAATGACCTTCTGAAATGTTTCTTAAGCACGTTAAAGTATTATGTTAGTATGAAATTACAAAATTTATTAAAAATATATATATTACTCTAATGATTAAGCACGTTAAAGTATTATATGTTAGCTATATATGGAAAATAGTGCAGTGGAGTGGAGGTCGTGGAGGTAGATGAGGTTTGAGGATTGGCGGTCGCCTATTCTAAAAGAGCTTCGTTAGGGAAAAATGAAGCAGATAAAAAGGTTCTACGAGCAGGATGGAATCATATACAAAAGGTCGTACGCATGACACTCTTCTCAGGTGTGTCACGGAGGAGAAAGGTTGGTATGTGCTAAGAGAGGTGCATGAAGGGTGTTGCATCGACCATAGCAATGTCAGATCGCTCATTGCTAAGGTGAACGCTTTGTATGGAAACGCTGATTGGAGTTCAAGTTAACTTGAACTTGAAGACAAAGGGTGTGGATGTGGACAGTGTTTGCAAGTGTTGTGGTGAGGATGAGGAAAGCATTAAGAACTTACTATTGCAAAAGAGCCAAGTAGGTATGGAAACTTCCTCCTTTAGAATGGGAGAATCTTGAGCAGGCTGCAAGTAGTTATAGAGATTGGTGGTGGTGAGTCCCATCTCTTGATCGCTCGGCAATTTCTAAAGTACACATCAACTCTCTGCACTACTTATACATTATGGAGGCTTTAGAAAATGGAAAGCACGGAATTTGTGGGCTTTTCAAAATGTTTGGCAGCCAGAACGAGCTATTGTGCAGTCAGCTTTGCAAGATTGGATGAAGTTTGCTAACCGGGGGAAGAACCCGGGTTTGTGTCCTTGAAGTAAGTTTGTTGAATAGATTCTTATGTTCAGTGGTCGGCTAGCTTTCTTCTTTTATGTTTTATTGGCTCTTAATCTGTTGTTGTGTTCCCTTTTATGCTGAAGAGAGAAGGGTTACTTTGGTTAGTATCTAGAAGTAATGGCAGATGACAATCAGATATACTTGAGAAACAGCTGAGTATAGACATCTCAATATGATTGTGTACTCTCCAGGTTCATACTATTTGTTTATTTATTTCCCATGGATCACTAAGATCTAAAGGGAACTACATGAACATGGTTAACTGTTTTAGTTTTCACAATAAATTGATTATTTGCCATAATAAAAATGTACATGCACATGAGACTTAATCATAAATTACAAAAAGAAATTCCCCTATGTTTGAAAAATACAAGAATGCCCCTTAATATTTGCAAAACCTCAAGCCTGTGCCTTACCTTACAAGCCCTCTTTTGTGACCAAAAGGATACATTTTGTAATTTTGAAAGACAAGTGAACCTTTTGGATCTTAATAAACCTCAGGATAATTTTTTTGTAATCCAGTCTTTGATAGAATGAATAATCTTAGCAAACCATTTACAAAAACTATACCTCCATTGGTATGCAGTAATACATATAGAAATGAGGGAAAACAGTGCCTATGTAAAATCATTTTCGCGGGCAAGGCTCGTGAATTTAAAGAATGAAGAATGTTATTCGAGCAAAATCAGGGATAAATTTACCAATTCATGATAAACAGCAGATGCCAGCCAAAAACCAGGGATCGCTAGAACCTGACAGGAAACCTTGTGTATTAACTTGTCAGAGGCTTTGCCTTGCGTATATGACCCATACTATTCACAAGATCCTTTCTTGTGCAGACAGGAAACATATTGATGCGTGTTAACCCTTTGAGCCGCCAAAGAACATATGGAAAACTTAGTTGATCGCGGGAAGTGAAACGGACCACTTCATTAAACCAAAGGCACATGAACAAGTTCGTCAATGGAGTGTGCTTCCTCACGATTATAGAAGCCTCTGCTAGAGCTGCAAGGAGAAAATTGGAAACTTTATTCATTTGCACTTGTGTGATGACAAGTGATCACATTAATTAAAAGGGTAAGATGAAAAGATGGTGGTGGTGTCAGGTGTGTGTGTGTGTACATGAAGTAAGACATGGTTAGAGGTTACAAGTGCACCCCCCTTGAGATCTGTTTTTGAGAACTATATCCTCAATAAAGATATTTGTTAAGAAAAATACAAACCTTAATATCTTCAGAGTACAACCTTAAGAACACGATTGTCTAGACAAATAATATTGTTGACATAGAAAATTGAGTTCCTGGCTATTAGTACTTCTTATCCGCACATTTTTTTTTATTTCATTCTTATATGTAAATTCATTACCAAGAATTATAATTTATGTGTATGTCGGCTATGGTTTCAGAATATGAGAACACCATAGAAACATAAGCATACCTTTTTTCCCGTTAAACCTTCTATCCTCTGGGAGGCCATCCAGGCGATACTGTGCCAACTGAACCTCAACTTCCCCTGGTGTGGCCTTATTTTTCTTTACGACAGCTTTGGCCTCGTCGTACACACTACTGCGGGCCCCGTGTTCTGAGATTGCAAGTTCATGATTAGAACGCCAAAGTAAGGCCTCCAGTACACCCAGAGGGTCCCTCCTAAACTGAGACTTGGAGTCTACCCAAATGGAATATCTGGAATTCGGAAAAAGACGATGGGGAAGCATCTGAAATAAACACATAATAAATCACAAAGGTGAAAAAGCATAAAATTCCCCGACCAATTAAATTGCTAATGCAAGCACATGATGCAGATCTTTCATTAATTTATGAAAATTTAAGGACATTGATTACTCAACTGGCAGGTTACAACAGCAATCAACATTTTGAGAGCAATAGACAGCATTCACATGTTCATCATTGTTTAATGAGAGGGTTTAGTGAGGAAGGAAAGATAGTTTCATTTCCAGCACTTATGAATTAAAGCAAATGCTTCTGAACTCGGCATTTCAATTAGGTCCCCCTCATATGGGCTTTGAAAAGCAATGATAGAATAGTGTGCACCTGTAATGGTATCATATCTCTCAAATTGCATATATTATACAATACAGAGCTCCCTCAATTCACAACGTAGTAAGTTTCATCAGAGACATGACATGATGTATATGAAGTGACACCAGAAAAGAAAAATGAAATATAGAAACGCAAATATTAGATGAGCATATAACTTCTTCAATATGGATAGCTGTTAAGAGCTCTTTGTAATCATGCACAATAACATAATGACTTGCCATAAACAAGAGAAATTTAAGTACCTTTGGTATTTTCCCATTCAATCTTTGGTCACTGAAGGGTAAATCCCTAACTATTATAATACGCCATTGCCCAATAAAATGGCTATCATCAACCTTATTCCCATCCGCTTCTTGTGTTGCAAGAGTAATTTCATCCCAGAACGCGACATAGCAAACCTACACAGATTACAAACAAAATCATAGTTAACACATGACATAACTAAAAGTGGAATATTGTAAGTTTCAAACAAGATATTTGCACGTGGGCTGGCAACCTTTGAAAGTGATGTCTCAGACATTCCTATAGGTTGATAAAGATCATCCCCACCACCAAAGGCACAAGTCGAGACCACAACTTTGCAAGTCTCCATGTAACGTTTGTCTTCATCAGAAATTCTAAAGCCTCCCCTTTCACAGTAGAAACCACAGTGGACTTCAGCTCTTTCAGTCACCTATGACATAATAACATTTGCAACATGTAATTTCCGAGAAGAGTGAGAGGTCGTTAACAGTAAAAAATGTGCCATGAAATGTTCAAAACCTGAGCATCATTTGAGTTTCTAAAAATCTGTAGACACAATATTAATCTTCTCAACACTCAATAAATGATTCTACAGGTCGAGCTCGAAATGTGTGCATATATGCATACATACGTAAGGGGAACTAGATATAACTCATCACCTTAAAACTTTTTTCTCTGTGCTCAAGAGTTTGGTTTCCTGTGAATAAATTGAATCTAGCACCTTCGACATATACGGCGGATAGGTTAAACTTCCCTGCATTACTGGCTCTATCAGTCTCCAAGGCATACACCAAATCTTTTACAGGGCTTCTGGAGTCCTCATCATTTGGAATTTCCAGATGCTCAAGTTCTTCAGGAGGTAGGAGCTTCAAACACCCTGAAATTCAGAAAAAAAAAATAAAATTCATAGAATAACAAACTGTCCTTGTGATATGAGCAGTAAACAATCAGAAGCTGAAGAGCCAACTGAAATGAAATAAAATACTGCTGAACCCATACATTGACCGTGCGTAATGCATCATCAATTTGTTGTGCAAGAAAATTGTAGGGAAAGAGCAACAGTCGATAGTCACTGTTAAAAGCAATGGGAATTTACACAAGAAATGGTCACTATTTGTCCTTGTGCTTGCAAAAACGTCATCTTGTATTCAATGAACAAAATCACGAACCACGACTGCAATTATGGCCAAGAGTGTCATAGCAGACCCAAAATTAAAAGATCGCAATTTTGGAAAATTTACTAAAATGATTGGTTCATGGTGCTTAATGAAAGCAATTACTTCACAAAGAGAACCTTATCACATAAACCATCTCATGACAATATGAGCATACTAGTGATCACAAGTAACTAACGTATAACAAGGAATTTACGCTGATGCTTACTGTATAGAAGGGTTTCTGCTGGCAATCTACCAATGCAGATGATCAAGCAACACCACAATGCACATGCTATAAATCAATAGAACATCACTTGCAATAATATGATCAACTTTAAAGCCATTTATTTACACATTTATTAATGTCTGACAGTGAATCCACGCTAATAACCGGGCAGGAAAGCAAAGAACAAGTATCACTCACTCTCTCTAACGCCACCAACAACCCGCGTAGTAGGATCGAGCCTATTCAAGTTTCCATGCGGCTTACCGCCGCTACTTCGGCTTCCTGCATTTCCCGAGCTCTCACCTTGCGACCCACTTCGCCCATCGCGGCCACCAATTTTGACAGTCTCGTAGACTAGGAGGGCGACGGCGAGGAGCAGCAGCAGAGCGGGCCACCACATGAGGAGCTTCTTGAGTAATTTTCGGGTCAGGTCCGGCCTACCCCTCAGGAAGGGCTTCCTGCGCTTACGGCGGACCCGAGACCGCACACGAGTCACGGGTTCTTCAAATTCGTCGTCGGATACGGCAATCGAGATGCTGTTGTTCATCATAGACGACGCCATTGACAGCCCGGTTGTCGCTTAAACGGAAAATTGCAGGTGTAACGGAGTAAGAGCTTAACTTGTTTCTGCTTAATCGGCTGAGAAGCTCCTGATTTGGTGGCGTATGTGGGAGGACCAATTTCGATCAGAAATTCACAAACTGAACTCTAACTATATGAGATTAGACAGGAGTTATGTTAACGTGTAGGATGAGATCTGGTAGATTTTTAGTATCACGGTGAGTAGGGCGGCGAATGAGGTGGCTGAGCGGCGGAAGACGGAGGGGGGTTTTGAGAAACAAGGAGTCGGTCACCGATGGGGCAGATGTGGAATAAACAAATTAACATAAACATAAAAATGTGTAAATATTTTTTAACAAAAAATAATTACAACTAGTATTCAACCTGTGTATATTTACAGATGTGACAATTCAAACGACCTCAATCAAATTCAGCGTCTCTCCAAAGTCCTTGAACTATCGATATTACCTGCAAAACACCGTCGAGGTTGTCCCGGCGTAGAAATTTTGATGCTCCAAATTAGTAATTGGAGAAGATGATGTATACAGTTTATGTAAGTATATAATGTTTAGAGTTTGTAGAGTCAAAATGATTATAGTTCACCCCTTTCATGTAGAGGTGTTACCTTGTTGCCAAATTTTGCCAAATTTCGATTTGACTGCCCAAGTGCCCGAGTTGTCCGAACACATTGCTCGAGTGCCTAGATTGTCCAATTCTGCTAGCTACGTGGTCTTATCCACGTAACCTTCTTATTTATATTCGTAGTTATCATTATCTTGGTGTGTTCATACTAATTAGTTAGTTACTTTAAACATGATTGTGCTATTAGTTCGATTCCCTTTGAATTGGGTCGTTCTGGTCTTCAATGAGTAAGTCTGTCTTTTAGGTCTTAAGTCGATTTCTTCACTTTCAGGTCCAGTTTTCATCAGGTCTACCGAGAGTCCTAGCTCGGCCTGTTTTTGATTTGCTTCTACCTCGGAGGTCATCACCGACCTAGTATTATAGTGACCTCGAGTCTTTTTGTTGTCCGACATCCTATCGACCTATTGGTTTACTTGAACGGCTCAAGTTAATATTTTCTTTCCCAATAAACACCCATTGCTCCTCTCTGAGTTTTTTTTTTTTTTTTTTTTT